AAGTTTTAAATTAACTTAGTTATAATTAGGTTAATGTGATACACTTAAAACTAAATAAAATTCTTCTGAAAATGTAGATGTGGAACCACAAACTTTTAATATATAGTATAAGTCATTTTGTGAAGAAGCTAATAATCATCCTTCGCAAGCACTTCAGAACAAGTCATAAAATAATTTACATTTCTAATTTATTCACATTTCTGTACAAGTAACAAGAGTATTTAACTAGCGACGAGTAGTCTTCCCTACACCCCTCGTTCCTGTCAACAAGTGTTTTGGCTGTAATGTTGAAATCTTGCGATCTGCCTCACCCTTTCGTGCATTTAAGTTCATCTTCCTCTGGGACTTTTTGGCCAAAAATTTCACCTTCTTCTGCATCTGAAGAAAGATACACAAGAAAATGTTATCGAGTCTAAAGAGGGAAATATTAAAATAGATAAATTTTATATAACTTAAAAAGTATGTTTGGCTGACAAAATATCATTTAATATACACTACATTTTACTATTAGCTCACCTGATGAGCCTGCACGACAGTTTCGATTTAGCCAATGACTAAATATCAGTTTTACAGTAGAAGAATTTTTCAACCAATTAAAACTGCGACATTTCAGCCATCTTCAGGCAATGTACGATTAACTACACTTATAAGTTCAAAGTGTAACAGTTATTCTCAGCAGTACACGTTAAATCACAAGTATTTAATATAGTTGAAAATAATTATAAGCAAAACTTATAAAATCTCATGTATCCGTATATTTTAGTAGAGATAAAGAAATTTTGGGATATTTGTTTAAAGAATGTTTTGAATTTCTTAAATCAGTATGGTTTTACACGATTTTTTTCCGTATCAGTTTCACTTCGTATAATTTCAATTTTCAGATACCGGATGTTTCGTTTACTTTGAAATTTTCAAAAAATATAATGGTCTATAAAATGTTTTTTGATCTCTGTTCAGTTCTCTTCCAGTTTCAAACTCAATAAAATCGTTTGTGTGTATAACACTTGATTTTATACATTATTCCATCTGCGTCCTTTTATTTTGGACAATTTCTTCAAAATGATTTTCATTTTTGTCTTTTTATAATTGTTGAGTTGATATTATGTATTTTGATGAACTATTCCCATGACTTGACAAGGTTGTCACCAACAAGTTCAATAAAAAGAGATGGTTTTTGTGATAATTTTGTTTGTCTTGTGGTGTCTTCGTTTTGGTTTCACTGTTTGACTTCTCCTTTAGGGTAATCATTTTTAGAACGAAAATCTCAAGATATTCTCAGTCCAAACTATCTTGGTACTTATGTCAATAATGACTTGAATTACTGTATATCCTTTAAGGTTTCAAGTTTTTGTTGTGGATGGTGTGTTGATTTACAGTCTACATATTGTTTCTAGTGGTTGGTTGGTGCTTTATAGTGCAAAGCAACCAGTAAAAACAGTGAAAGTAAATTAGAATAAAATGTAAAAATACAGTGAGTTAAAACCAAAATATGTCGATAAAAGATTTATATACAATTAAAAAGACCTACAGTAAGTAAAAATTTAAAAATACAATCCAATCGGACAGTGTCACCATTACCAATGACACTGTCCAACGTCAGGGGTAAACTCTTAGAAAATGCGTGTCTAAAATGGTGCAGCTGGGGTCCAGCATCTTCAAGGCTGAGGTCCTGACAGAACCACAGACCCATAGTCCAGTTTGGATCAAATCAGGGCATGATAGATCCTGAGCATAGAACATCGATCTGCCCCCCAAGAGCTGGAAGATTGGAAACGGATGAGCCCTTGCACACTTGACACGAAGCTGCTTGATGTGTGGAATGAAGCTACGCTTATGGTCAAAAATAAGCCCCAAGAACTTTGCCTCAGGGACCACACGAATAACTATATCGCCAAGATTGGGCTGGAGACCCCGTTGGCAGCAAAAATTCATGCAAACGGTTTTTGAAAAAGAAAATCTAAAACCGTTTGCAGTGGTCCATGTCAACAACCGATTGAGGGCAGTCTAAAGCTGCTGTTCAATAAACCTCATGTTCGACGACTAACATGAGATGTGAAAGTCGTCAACATAGAGCCCATTTGCAACAGTCAGAGGAAGATTATTAGTGATGGCATTAATTTTA